GCCGTCGGGCTGCCGTGGTCGAGTTCGTGTTCAAGAAGCTTGCGTACTGACTGATGAGGGTCGTGGTCGCGGGCTGATGGCGTCAGATACCGAGACTCGCACGTAGTGTGACGTGAGTATGTATATCATGTACTGTAGTGCTCAAGCGGAGGGAGGATGGGTGGGTCCTGTCGCGCGTTGGGTATCGTACACGAGACAGAGCAGCACAAGCACCAACAGCTAGTTAGCAGCAACCACACCTGGATTGTGCAGTTTTGTGGAGGTGGACGAGAGGTCGTCAGCCTGAGGAGAGGGGAAGCTCATGCGTATCTACGCAAGTGATAATGTGACGTTGCCCCCTATTTAGCAACCTGCTCCCGCCGATCCTCTCGTCTCGTTTGTTCCCGCGTACAGGACATGATGGAGTTTGTCGGTTGTACGCTCGAGCTGTACCTCGAGGCCCACGGTTCGGGAGGCTGGGATGCCCTGGAACTTGGAGGGTCTCGGGGGGGGCATGAGACCCTTGTTCATCTGAGTGCGGCTGTCGTGACCGCGGTAAGCCTGCCACGAGGTAGGCCTGCACAGAGGTTGAGATCCGCTTTTCTCTTGAGCGATTCAGGCGGTCCTAGGTTTAACTGGATGGCGAATACCGGGAAACTCGTTGCCGAACCCCCATTTCAGTAATATTATCACTTTGACGTCATTGTGTACACCAAAACTCGAGGTTGGACCTCGACCTGACCTTGAGTTTACTTAGCTATCGGCTCGTTCCGTACCACCTTGAGTTTTCGAGAGCTAGCTATGCGTACAATAGAAGGATGGGCGAGGGGAGATGCATGCCACGATTCGCGACTTCGTGGAAGGCAAATTTACTATGTTCGCTTCGGTGGCAGTCTTGACTGTATCCTTGGTGCATGGGTTGATAGCGTGCCATCGTGAATCAGGCTAGCGTTCTAGCTCAACAGTTTCACGATGAACTTACGTCTCAGAAATATAGAACAATTTTCGGCACGTCCACGACGTTGCCCGCCGATATGCATGCACAGTGATTTCGCTCGCGTAAGGCGCATCTTGATGTATATCACGCCTCCATTGACCACGGGGTTGGCGGAATAATCTCCCCTAAAACCTTGAAGAAACTCCTGGCTGTCAAGACAGACGAAAAAAACGAAAATGAGGTGTGACTCCAAAGCGAACGCTACGGCTGTATGCTTCAGCGCGCTTTGAAACATGTTGTCGGGCGTGGTCCTTTTTTTCTGTGCTTCTCCAATCTAAGCAAGCCCTCTCATGCGCACGCCTTGTTCTCCTTATGCGAAATGATACGCCAACACTTTCTCCGGAGCAGCTTTTGTTTTTAGGATCCATGCAGACGATTGCGCAGCTCTCGCGAGATTCTACGACACCCCATAAACTAGTCCTTCTAACAATATTATTACACACATCTTATCCCTAACCAATTGTTCCGCCGGCCTTTTCGTCGTGGCACCTCCTTGTCACGTGCCCGCCGCAACCCCTCTCAAAACCCAACAGGTTGTTCCAGAACTTCTTCGTACGAGTGACTTGAGAGAACCAGACGCTGCAGCCCTGCCTCTCGACGTTGACGCGGAGGCGTTTGGCAAGATTGGCATCTCACCCAGTACGCGTGCCCCTACCTGTCCAAGTGAGGTACGTTTTCGAAATCCAAATGTTGTGCGGTGCATGTAAGCCTGGGTGCTACTTATCTGTTGGGCATGTCCGGGATTCGCCTGTTTTATTGCTATGCATACCTGATGAGAGGTTTCTCGCCGTGCTCGCCACCCCAGAGTATTATTTGGGATTTCAGAATTACAGTCTAGCAAACACTCGCACTATTTTTTCATGGTGTACATATCCAGCGGTCACATAATCTATTTGGGTTTTGTCGTCGCAATCGCTTTCATGTCTAGACTATAGACTATACCCACGCTACCCATGAATACCCTGCAGGCACCCCACCTGGACCCTCACCCAGTGGTTTCCAATGCCGTCGTTGACCTTACTTTGATCAGCTGCACATCCGCTCACATTCCAATTTTGTCTGTTTCACTTTTCGGTTCTAACCATCTGATGTCCTCAAACTTGCACATATGACCGCTTTTGTGGCAGCCCCTTGCACGGGCGGCCGGTTCGGAGATGGCGCGAGCGACGACGACGAATATCTGGACGACGACGCGGTGGCAATGGCTGTCGAGGTGGTCACGCCCTGATTTCGCTTCGCGGCCGGCATCATCAGGCGCGGGTATTCATGAATTGTGTGTTTCCCTCCTGTTTTTACGCATCATGGGTGATGGAGCAGCGGTGCGATCGTGTAGCTTCGCGTGTTTAAGAAGGTGGTGAGGTACTGCAGGGAGGGGCAGAAAGACTGCGCGTACCGCCGGATTACATGTATTAAGTAGAACTTTTATCTTTTGTAGCTCCGCCATTTATTTGGAATCTTCGGTGAGATACACACATCAGTGTGTACAGAGATGATTGATATTATGTACACGTTCGCAGAATATATCCAAGTTTATTGCATCATGGTTGGGTTTTTTATTTTCGTACACCCTGTGGTAAAAGTCAGGCGCGGTTGTCGCCTGTAGTTCAGGCAGCCATTGGTGTGGTGGTCTCGGCTGTTGTTTGGCTGATATGCCATCACACATGCGTACAGCAGATAGAGAGACCGCGCGCGCCGCCTGGTGGTATTGTTGTAGTCATATTTAGTGAGACTTTTTGTTGTTCCTGTTTTCTTTCTGATGTGGCGCAGCGTGATGGTGCCCATCATGGACTCTGTGTGTGGGAGCCTGTGACATTCGCGGGGTGAGTTTTGAGCCCAATTTGCTGAGGTCATATCCGTACGTGTATGTCTTTGAAGGATTGTGTAGGCCCGTTCTCTCTACGCCTCCTTGGGCGTATTTTTATGCTCGACTTTGCTCTACGCGAGAGGAGCGAGACAAACGTGTGCGCGTTGTTCTCATGTTGTAGCTCCGTGAAGGGGGCGGGTGAGGAGTACGTTGCGCTTTCGCCTCTGCGTTTTTGTACGATGGACGATTTCAGAGGCCGACATGTGTGACTTATCGTTTTTCGGCCGCACGATCTGCGATACAACTTAAAAATCAACTTTTTGAGCAACGTCATGCTCGAATCCCTAGTGAGGGCGTCGGCCTAGAAAAAGTTGCTTACCCTACGCATGGATGGGCCAACGTCGCTGTGCGTACGTTGGCAGGGTCTGGGCATACCTATTTTAGTGGTACAGACGCGACGTTGGCATGCCCACAACCACGCCCAAGGTCGCTGTGCCTACGTAGCCACGGTCTGGACCTAGGCCAAGGTTCCTTGTATGCCGAATCCTACCCAGTTTCGGACTGTGTCCAGGCTACCATTGACGTACGTTGGCAGGGTCTGGAACTAGGCCAAGGTGCCTTTCGTGCCGAACCCTGCCGAGGTACTGACCTTGGCCAGGTTACCTAACCCTACCCATGTGATAATGGGGGGCGTCCCCAAAAAGTCGTTAGTGCCGAACCCTGCCCAGGTACTTGATCTTGCCCAGGTTACCTAACCCTAGTCATGTGATAATGGGGGGCGTCATCGAAAAGTCGACCCCCCCCCCCCCAACCCTGTGGCTGAACCCAATGGCCACCGGTGTGGAAAAAGAAGGCAGGAAGGTTGTGAGAGGAGGGGGGAGGGAGGCAAGTAACAAAAAACATCTTTCGACACTCGAAAAAAAAACAGTCTCAAGAGTTGACTCTCAAGAATCCTATTCTTCCTGGTTGTTCATCTTCTGTTGCCCAGAAATAGCTCCTGTATATTCTCATGCTGCCGCCGCTCTTGGCTATACTTGAGCACGAAACACACAAGTCTACGCTATACGGCTGGTGCGCGCTGAATTGCTTCCTCGATCGAAGTGCTCATTGGTTCCTCCCCACCCGTCACGATGTCCGCTCTGGCCTCCGACACGTAATACTGGAGTTCCGTGAGCAATTCCAACACCGAGAATATCAGCGAAAATATCCCAATCGACACGCTATCCTCCCAAGACTCCGAAGATAGGAAAAGAGCCCAAAAACAGCGAGTCTACCACCAACGTCTCTCCCACTGCCCGCACCATAACCCATGATCTACGAGTGGCCTCGTCGGAACCAGGGAGGCGGTGTCCATGAGGATAGGAAAACAGAGCGCGGCCGAGCAAACTGTAGGGATGGTGGTCAACGATTCTATCGATCAACGAAAGACCAAACCCAGACTGCTCCAATCTGTCCACCGGCGTGTAACCTGCCAATTCACACAACCTCATCAACGAACTCGACTTCGAGCGTGATCCCACCACAACCCACAAAAACCATCCAAGATTGGCCATCGCAGAGCGGACCTCGGGACTCCCCACTCACCGCGATGCTCATCGAAAAAAGGTTTCAGGCGCAAGTCACTACAACCGTTCGAGCACCTTAAAACGCCCGCCTCTTGATTCACTAGTGCCAAGCAGAGCAAAGGGAACCCACAACAGAACGAGCAACAACGTGACGAGGGGCACAAGCACCCGCTCAACATCTGCTAGCACGAACGCACCACAGAACGCCCACCAAAGCCCCCCGCGATCCTCGAAAATCTCAATCAACAGAATCCCATCTCTGACATCGTCGAATATCGGAATAAGGACATGCCAGAGAGGGACCAAAAAGTCCACCACAGACACCGCCAACGGCTCCACTCGTCCAGCACCTACAAAAAAAAAAAAAAACGTCAGGTATATCAACATACCTGAAGGTTTTTGCTTTTCTCATGTCATGCAATATCTTTGGAATATCTAGCAGTGGTCGACAACCACGTCATACGCTACAGGGCATGGGTGGCTCTATAGACGTTCCATTCAATCACAATGCATCTCGTGTGTTGTGTATCTGACCGTAGTTCGACTCCGAATTCACTCCTTGCCCCAACCGGGCAGCCCCACTACTGCCATCAAGCCCGATTCTAAATATTTGCAAACAATTACAACGAGATGGATCACCTACCTGGCCGAAACGCTACGAAACCGGGGCTCCAGCCGTTGCCGGAGCGCCTCCGTGCTCGCGAAGAAATGCCTTTTCGTTCGTTTTCAGCACCCAAGCACGCCTCCCCGTGCTGGGGTTCCTCACTTGAACCATGTGATCCCTCCAGTCGACGACAGCTAGTGTGCGGTGGCAGGGAAGACACCCTGACAAACACTGAGGAGGTGATGATTCCACATCCCGCATGAACTTGCACAGGCCTTCATAAGATTTGCCCCGCAAGTCTTTAAACCCATCCATCTCTGCTCGTGTCGCCCCCTCGCTGAACACGGGGAGTGCAGCACTACTGATCCTATCGGGGACCTTACCCACACCCTCCAATAGCTCAGCACCTGTTGCCATAACGAAAGCACCCAGCACTTTGTTCAGGGGCAGGTCAACGTTTGACACGGCGCCAACGGCCACCCGCAACATCCACAGCGACACCTGAGAAAAAACGAGGCGGGCGAGTCATTAGGGGCGACGGCGGGGAACAAGCAAGGCGATTACTACACGCGTGATAACCAAAATAAGGGACGGCCAACGATGCGATACTTTATGGCGTAGCTCCACAGTACACCGACCCACAGCGGAAAGAAACGAAACACATAATGATCAATGCCTTGACACCGTGGTGCTCGGAAGCAACGTCTAAGAAGTACACAGCCCTATCGCTATGGACTGGAGAGCAGTTACGTATCATACTTCCGGTCACCTGCATTAGCGGGAGCCACTGTTTGACCCAATCTTTAGGGTGCTTGATGGGAAAGCCACGTCCCCCTGGACCACAGGGGACCTCCGAAAGGTCATGCCCACAGAGGAAGTGGACTCGAAACTTATGAAACCCCATCTCGGAAAGGGCCTTCGTCCACCTGTCCCAACCCGCACGCTGGATCCGTTCGTGTGTCATATCTTCCGCGGTCTCCAGCTCCGGCCGCACGAGCACCAGGCGCGGGTACGCGCTCTGCTCATCGCTCGCGGGCAGCAAATCTTGTTCCAACAGCTGGGTTACAATTCCACCGAGCTTCCGCACTGTCTCCTCCAGGCTGTCTGCGACTACCTCCACCCTGCCAGTGACTACCTCCATCCGATCTGCGACGTTGCCCAGGTTGTCAAGGACGGAGCCCAAGCGGACAAGTAGGGATGATTCGATTTCCTCCGCAGGTCTGAAGTACATCGGGCCGACGAGGCCAGGGTATCCGTAAGCTGAATCCGACACTAGGCTTTCCAGCGACTTTCTCAGCTCTTCGAGAACCTCTGCAGCCTGGGGTGGTGGCCCCTGGATGCCCAATGTGAGACCAGCAAACATATCCACTGTCCCATCCTGGTGGGCCTCTTCGACTTCCGACTCATACAGAAAGACGTCGTACCGCGCGTATTGGTATTTATAGCTGAAGAACGCTCCGTGCTGCCAGCACTCGCCGTAGTCGGCAACTTGCTGCGCTGACCAGGCAAGGAAACGACCAACTATGCCTGGTGGGGGGTAGACTTGACCAAACGAACACTCTATTTTTAGAACCATATTCGTCAGTCTGTCCGGGATACGCTGATCACCGTACTCTTGGAGACGGGCCGGAACCACAAGATTGTCCGCATCGCGGGCCGTGTACATGACCAAGAGTCTCTCCATCGTTGACACGATTGACTCGAACTCGGGGTCGGTGAGGTCCACCGTTGGTCCTGGGCCTTCAATTTTGCGGTGCATCCACAGGAAGCGGAGGTAAGCCCGGTTTAGACGACCAGACCTACAGTATACGCTGTTGAATAGGTTTACGGCGGGAGCAAGGTGCGTTGAGAATGTCAGTACAATAGAAACGTTTGCACCTGGATAGGTTCACCACCGCAGCCCCAGCCCTCAAGACTGGATAAGATGCGGCCCAATAGCAAGAACATGAAGCTCACCTTGCGCATTTCAGGAGATCACTAGCCGAAATGCTTTGGGGTTAAGCGAAACCGGGCTCAGACTAGACCCATTTGTAAACACTACAAGGGCGCTTCGCGGCGTACCGCTTCGCGGTCGCCGCTACGCTCGTAGGTTCAATGGCGATGGCAAGTGTGTGCGGGTGGAGTTTTGAAATGAGAGCTACGAAGAAAAAATGCTGCGAAGAGGGAAAAAATTGTTTGTTTGTTCGAAGAGCAGAGACGCACAATGACTATATTCATATGTTGTGTTACGCGACGGCCGGAGGACAGAGTATTTAATTGCTCGGAGTAAGAAGTTTGTTTTTCAGAAACAAAGGTTCACTTTCCACGAAAAAAGTAGGACAATAGGGTTGGTTACGTAACATAATAATAGCTCCTGGGCCACATCGTAGTTTTTTAGTTTTTGCACCACGAAACCACAGAAAAGCAGACAACTTTTTCTGCCGATTTATGAAAATATGGAAACCCACAGCAGCAGTAGTCTAGTATTTCTATATGTTCTGCTAGAGGGTTTTGGGAGTCAGATGACTGTAGAAGTTCGTGTGTTGGTGTGTGTTGGTGGGTGAGATGCGGAGCATGTCCCGGTAGCCGCTCTACACTAAAGTGCGGTAGGTTCCAGAAGATATTTCCGGGAAAAAAAAAAGTATATCCATGAAACGGAGGAACAAACAACGTCTTTCATTTTTTTTTTTCTCGGGCGGGTGTAGTTTTGCAGACAGCTGTGCGCACGACACTGGCCGCTAACCCCCCCGCCTTTCGCCTGGATCAAAAGGGAGACGCACTACAGCAGTAGAGCACTTTGTCTCGTCTCATGCGGAGACTTGGTGGCTTGGTTGTCGTGTGTGGCAGGGTGTGTGGTGTGACGCCAGCGCACACGCACAATCCACGTCAGCCGCTTGCCGAATGTATGTATGAGTGGCCTGCACTGTCAAGAAATCGGGGTGTGATTGGTGGATCCATGGTAGATGTCGGAGACGCGACTTTCTGCCCTCGCTAGCGCTGCACGCAGTCTGCCCCGAGAGCGCGCGGCACGCCGGGAGGGCCCTCGCAACACAGGGCTATCGGTAGGTGCAAGTCTCGTTTCGAGGCGAGGTCAACGGGCGGAGAAACCTCGAAAAAAAGGGCTCTAGGCTCACGAGATCATCAGGATTGCCTTTCCTGCGTTCTCGTGAGCCCTCAGCCCGTAGGAAATCCGTCTATAGGTCTATTGGATGTCATTGGGATGGCTATGATGCAATCTTCATCGAGGAGCACTCGGGTGCACCAATTCGACCGACCACAGCATCCCGGAGAGAACCTCTAAGTGTGGGCCAGAAAGAAAAAATTGGGATGGCCGCGATTGTCGCACTACAACTGATTTGGTCACAAGAGTGGGCCTTGATGGTTGTAGCCGTGAATTCGACGTCGCCGTACGGCACCATAGACTGACGACATTTGCTACGAACACAACTTAGGTCGGCAACATATTTCTCAAGCCACCTCACTTGTGTATGTCGAAGAGCGGCGCCGCTGCAAGGCCCTGTCGTTTGGCGTACACACGGAGCCCCTGCTCCAGAGATCCACGTTTCTTCTTGTCCTTGTCCACAAGGTTGTGATCTGCCAAGCGCCTCACCAGCTCGATGAGCCACGACGGGTCCAGGTGAAGCATGTCGCTCGCCACAGGTGCCGAGTCGTCCGCCAGCGACAGCAGCACGCCGCCCTCGGCCTCACGGTGCTGCATCGCTCTCAACAGCACCTTGCCGGCGTCGCCGGCGACGGGAGGAATTCCGCTCATCTTTCTACGGAACTCTTCGACTGCTCTGCTCCAAAGCACACACGGTGCTGTCCCCTTCAGAACGTCCATGGCATCGTAGGCCTCGATCCAAGCCTTGGAAACGGTCTGATCCACGGCAGGGAAGTTAAACCCGGTAGGGCACTCTCGTCCGGACGCTGCTTTCACGATCCATTGTCGTAATTCGACAACGCTCGTAGGGGCGAGAGAAACCTTGAAGACGTTGCCATGGAGGACCAAGGGTTCCGCGGTAAATCTACTCGAACCAGACCGCGGGGCCATTCTACCGTCATCTCGTAGATGATCAACCTCCATTGGTTTCGTAGACTCTGCATCGATGCAACGAATACTCTGCCTCCTTGATGCATTGCCGGCCTTATCCTTGATGAATTTGCTCACAACTACAGCAGAGCGAAGGAATACGAGCATTATCCGACCAAAGAGAACGGGGTGCGTTCGTTGAGGAATTTGATCGCTAACTACGCGGGTACAATGTGATAGGCTCGATAGGGGCGTTTGTTCCAACACCACAGAACAAAATAGCGAGTATCGGCGGTGGAATGTACACGCCATACAGCGCTCGGGTTTGACATGTTGAACACCGCCACCGCAAGTCATCGCTTTTTGAAAATCGAAAAATCTCTAGAGCACAAACCGTCTGCAGTATGTGGGCGTCTTCCTGTTGAGAGTCGAAATACGATCCCCACGCTCCCAGGGTAAACAATTTGCTCAGTATTTACCACTGCACTGTTTTTCCGGTTCATTAAACAATCCTGTGCCTCGTGTGACGGGTAACGTTATGTGCCCAAAGAACATGGTACTCGTCCTCGAAAGAACCACGATGCCTCACCGGTGTGAAGATGGGTCTCGGCTTGGCGAGCATCCTCACTCTCCATCTGGTCGACGTGGGACCCTACGAGAGCTACGGCCGCGCCAGGGACACGCATGTGGAGCATCTCAAGCCACCAGTAGATACGCCGACGAGGGTCGGTAAAGTTGTCCACTCCACTTCCTATCTCTTTGGAAAAGGCATGGAGGTCCACTACAAGCAGAAACAAAGCACCCTTGGTCAGAAACAGCTGATGGGAGGAGTAGTAGTCCGCTTGGCCAGCGAAGTCCCAGACGCTAACCTGCAGGGGCACCTCATCTCCCGGCTTCCAGTCCGTTGTGATCTCGATGCCCACCGTGCGGTCAGAACGTTTGGGGACTGACCTACCTGTCATGTGGCGAACAATGGTGGTTTTCCCGGCCCCTGCCAGGCCCACGAGCACCATCTTCAGCTTGTTTGACTTGCCCTCACCAAACCGCTTCACGTCTTCCCACCAGCCCAGCGCCCTCTCGAACCCAGACTCCAGCACCGTCGACGGCGGCCGTGACCAAGGGTTTGCATGCCACGACGGCTCTCCTAGAATCTCCCGACACAGCTCAAGAACCTCGGGGGGGATCTCTGCAAGCCCCAATCCAACGCGGGCATGCATGAACGATTTAGTTCAAGGAGGTCTTTGCAAAGCGACACAGAACCATTCCTGCGTCTCAAGTTGTATGAGTTATGTCAATATATCCTCACGTGACATCTTGATACCCCATTAGTGTCTTCACGTTCAGCGGTCGAGGTGTCTTGGCCCTTCCTTACTGCCACACGTTCTTTTGTGCCGATGCGGGGTGGTGCTGCAAACTCCTTTTATTCCATGCATATCTACTATTGACAGTCGAACATGAAGAGGTCGTCTAAACCCTACTGGTAGAGTAGAGAATACTGAGTAAAACTACTAGAACGTTAAGTAACCACTACGTCTCGTGTGTTGCTACAGCAAAGGTGGAGGAGCCGAAGGGTGCTAGCGTGGGGTGCTCAAACGCCGAGTTGCGGCTCTTTCACTTACTCTCCTCCAAAGCCGACGCCATTTCATTCCGGAATTCTACGCACTTCTCGTTCAGGAGGCATCCCGTATGGGACTGTAGACACCACAACAAGCTCACGGGTGAAAGCGTTGGCGGGACAAGATCTACGGAGTTAGATGATATTGAAACAAGACAGCCGGGGTCACTTTTGTTTACTCCCCTCTAACTTAGTAACACTCTTACTCTTCTGCTTGAAGGATCCATCCCATCGGAGCTGGGAGCTCTCAACGAGCTGTGGGTGCTGCACCTCTACAGCAACCAGCTCAGCGACGAGAGACGGTGCTGGACTTTGACCGCTCTTTCAATTTATATTTCTAGGACATATGCATGTGTCCCACCCACGCACACCGGATTCATCCTAAAAAATGATACCGCGAACAGTTGTAACATGTAAACTGAACGACATACCGCTCAGCTGGGTGCCTCCAAGGAGAAGGGACCACATTGCTGCATGATTTCCAAGCTCCGGCAAGATGGGGCATGCAGCGCAAGCGCAGACTTTTTTTGAAGAAAGGAATACTTAAAAGCACCCCGCTTCTAGAACGCACCTACTCACCCACTGCATCGGCAGGGTCAATCCGTGCATCCAGTTAATCCAGTTTGAGAATAAAATTGAAACCACTGCCAAACTTAAAGAGTCACCTGTGAGCTGATTGTTGCTGAGCCACAGAGTCTGCAGCTGTCGCAGATTTCCCAGCTCTCGCGGGATAGGACCTGCAAGCGGAAGAAGAGACGAATTCAGCGGGGAACACAACGAAACACATCGGCTTCGAGAAGCTACTCTACTCTACGCAAATCGCTATCTTCAACGTAGAGAGCCGGGAAAACTATCGTTTTAGTGCCCGCTAGAATTGTATTGCGCTTCTGGTCGCAGGCTATATCCCACCGGAGCTAGGAAAGCTTTCAGGGCTAGTGCAGCTCCACCTTGGTTTCAACGAGATAAGCGGTGAGTCCCCACGTATCGATCAAGCATTAGGATGAATCCTGCGTACGCATCGGCGGAACTCATGCATGTATCACTCCTGTAAAAGTCAAAGAAAGTTGCATGCTCGACTCACCACGTAACTTGTTATCGCTGAGTTTGAGAGTCTTCACGGCGCGCAAACTTCCTAGCTGCTGTGGTATTTGTCCTGTAGAAACGCGAACGATTGTCTTTGTTGGAATTCCGGGGAAACATCAATCGTTTGTAGCTATTCGATCCCGTAGATCCTGCCCCACCCACTGTGGGTAAGACACTTTTCCTAAAGTCCAGTACGAGCGTTGGAGGTTGCTCACCTACGAGTTTGTTGTTTCTGAGAGAAAGGTCCTCCAGCGCAGTCAGTTTCCCTAGCTTCTCCGGTATCGTTCCTGTGCGCATGGCCAACAACCGTGTGCCACACGAACTAAGCGGGGAATAAGAGTAATTTGCTCGGCTTATACAACAACGCACCCACGCATCGGCGGGGTTCACGCAGATAACTTCAACAATAAGAGAGTTGCATGTCCGACTTCTGGGACTCACCATTTAACTTGTTCCCGCTGAGAGCGAGAGTCTCCAAGGCGCGCAGATTTCCTAGCTGCGGTGGTATTTGTCCTGTGGAAATGCGAGTAATTCTCTTGTTGGAATTCCGGAGAAACAAGTCGTTTCTAGGTGTTCGATATCGCACATCTTGTCCCGCCCACGCCTCGGCGGGAGTCATCCCGCAATTTGAACATCAACTCACCAGATAGGCGGTTTCCCCGAAGGGAGAGGTTTTTCAGTGCTGCGAGCGTTCCCAGCTCTGGCGGGATGGGACCTGCAAGCGAAAGAGCAAATACGAGTTCAACAGGAAAATAAAAATCAAGTTACCCAGCTCTCATTTTCGAGATAATCGATCTCCGTAGGTTTTGGCCCGCGTACTACGTCGGTGAGTAGGCGTGTTCTAGAAGCCGGGAAAAATGGTGCTCGCTACTCCCCTCACTGACTTTGGATGTGCGCGTCCGCTTGCAGACCCCATCCCCCCGGAGCTAAGACACTTTACAGCACTTCAGTACCTCTGCTTTGAAGAAGAAGCAGTGAATACTGAGAAAGTGTTACATTGTTGCTTGCTCCATTAAATTTCAGAATGAATCCTGCCAATGCGTGGGTGGGATTCGTCCGGAAAGTTGCAAATACCAAAGTGTACTATGAATATATGACTCACCGCTCAGCTGATTCCGGTAAAGCTTTAGCAGCCTCAGCTGGGATAAGCTTCCCAGCTCCGGCGGTATTGACCCTGCGGAGAGCGGCGCAGCGCAAGAAACAGAATAAGAATATCGAGCGATGAAGCTTCAAGAACAATGGTCCTGCCAACTCGTGGGCAGGACACATGTCGGCAGCGTTCATCCATGGAATTCAGTTGGAGAAAAGATGAATACCTGTGAGGGGGTTGTCGTTGAACTGCATCTCCTTCAGCTCGATGAGGTTTCCAAGCTGCGGCGGGATAGAACCTGTGGCAGAGGAATTCAAGTTCAGCGGGGAATAAAAAGAAAAGGTGCCCGGCTGTGAATTGTCTACAGATGGCGTGTGTCTAAGGAGCAGGCTAGAAGGCAGAGTATTCAGGTGTCGATTAACTTTCACGAGTACAGCAGCATAGTACGCACAGCGTACTGGTACTGCGGCGAGGATACATAAAGGCGTTGACCGCGTGCAGAACGCGGGGACGCACCAGAAAGACAATGTCATGGAAGGATCATCTTCGATCAACGAATTCTTGGGAAAGGTAAAAAAACATCGCACGAGAGCGACACGCAATGTCCGTAGGATAGGTTAAAAAATACCTCGGAGTTTGTTCGCGCTTAGAGACAGCTTCACCACGCGGCCCTGGTCGTCGGCTTTGACCCCGTGCCAGTCCGACAGATCGGCATTTGTGTCCCAGTTGGTCTTGTTCTTCCAATTAGGTCCATCGGTCGCGTTGTAGAGGGCTACCAGTACGTCACGATCGGTCGGTGCCATTGTAGGGGGACCTGTGGGGATTCAGAAGGACGGAAGTTTGCGGGGCAATTGCAAACATGGGTGTGGCTGTGGCAGGAGTAAGTCTAGTTGAGTGTGCGCAATCGCTTGCTGCCGGCCGTCTTTCGCGGCTGAGGCCGTCTTTCGCGGCTGAGGCCAGCCTTAGTGTACAACAGGATGATAGCATGAATCATGCTGAACGTTTTGCCGTGGTACGGACGATGTCACAACTCCGAAAGGGCATCTATCTACATCACGGTTTGGTTGTACACAGAACAAGGGAGAACAGGGCAACATGGACTAGTAAAGAAACCGACTCATCAGGTACCCTTCTCCAGGGTAACCGCGTGCGTGTCATCAGGTACACTGCTATTCTCTGCACGTGTCTGCGAACGCACGCCCGCTTCAGAGAAGCTCCTGCGAAAAAAGACCCACCTCTAGTCTATGGATATTGCAGAGTTGTACGCGGGGCGAAGCTAGATACGATAATCCGTTTCTTTCGGCGCCGCCTCTCTCTTTGTGTGGCTCCCCCCTCTGCGGTGGTTGCGCCTATGCGCCCTCGCCACTGCTGTTGGCCGAGTTGTCAGGTACCCCTTACTCTAGGCACCGATCTTCACCAGGGTTGCCGCGTGCGTGTCATCTCGTACACTGCTAATCTCTGCACGTGTCTGCGAAAAATCACCAGCGTCAGCGAAGCTCCTGCGAATAAACCCACCTTGTAGTCTGCCGAAGCGCGGTTGTACGTCGGGCGAAGCTAGATCCTGCGATCCCTTTCCTTCTGCGCCGCCTCTCTCCTTGCCTAGCTCCCCTCTCTGTGGTGGTTGCGCCTATGCGCCCTCGCTACTGCTGTCGGCTGCCTCTGTGTGTCGTGCACGAGACAAAGAACAGGTCCCACCCGGACGACAGTAGTGACGACTGCGTACACACTCGGGGACACGGCCGCCAACTCAGCTAGACGAGCATCGAAAAAGTTACTGGATTGCCACCACCACCACCACGAACAACATCAAGCGAGGTACGTCATAGCTTACTCACCTCCCTGCCCTGCTGCCCCCCCTGTCCTGCTGCTCTGCTGTGCTTGCTTTGTGCCTCGCTAGGAGACGAAAAAAGGAGGCTCCGCAGAGTGTACTCTAGAGCCCACTAAGTAATTCCTCCGCACATCCACATCTCCAGCTCACCCAGGTTGCACTTGCTGCTCAGGATCGGTGGAGCATTCGCACGGGTAGGGACAGGGGAAATGACTCTAGACATCTACGCCAATGGATTCTCGGAGATAGCGAGTGCACACGCCTTCCCACCGAAATGGTCGAGGTAAGGGTTCCCGGTTTCCCCTGTCGGGTTGCTCTTTGCCGTTGCTCCCTCGCTGGACCCTCTCTAAACCATCACGCTACACAGGTGGAGGTCGACCCCCCTTCCCCAAAATGTCGGATGCCCTCGCCCCATTGTGGAGACCTTGACAAGGTCGAACACCTTGGAGAAGACAACCAAGGCCTAAAAAAAATACCTCGATTTCTCCCCTGTCGAGGCCTTGGTTGTCTTCTCCAAGGTGTTCGACCTTGTCAAGGTCTCCACAAGGGGGCGCGGGCATCCGACATTTTGGGGAAGGGGGATGGACGTCCACCTGTGTAGGCCAAGCCAAAGCGAGGTATCACGACTCTTAAATACATGCTTTGCGTCCACCGCCTGGTGTTTGTCGTAGTTTCGTATTGTAGCCAAACTCGTACGGTCCGCGCCTCGATCTCCCGGAGTAGTGGGGCCATGGACGAGGATGCCCGTAACTGGTGTTTTACGGTGTGAACGGCCAGCACGCCCAGATCAACGCTCAGCTCAACGGGAGCCGAGACAATGCTCTTCGTGAGCTGATCACTCAGAGTATGGAACCGCTGAAGGGGATCCAAGACAATGGTTCGCTGTTGACTCCCACCACAGGTTGGACAACTTTTTTTTTCCAAGACAATGACTTCGCTGGTGACTCCCACCACGGTTTGACCATTTTTTTTCTTCCGGGTTGGACCATTTTTTATCGAAACAGTGACTTCGCTGGTGACTCCCACCACCGGTCCATGTTTTCCCAAGACAGTGACTTCGCCGGTGACTCCCACCACGTTGTGACCATTTTTTTCTTCCGGGTTGGCCATTTTTTTTCCAAGACACTGACTTCGCTGGTGACTCCCACCACGGGTTGGACCATTGAGAGAGGAGAAAAGGTGCCCGCAGTTTTCTGATTGGCCGATTTTTTTGAAAGGAAATTTCCTGCGTGTAGAAAATTCCATGGTCGACCGATGACGTCAGCCACGGTCATGACGTCACCTCTTGAAAAAATTAAAAAAATTCAACTTCGCCGTGGACGACTGATTGGACTGATGATGACGCCAGACTTTCACGGGAATCGCTGACCACACGGACGGATACAGTCATTCGTTTCCTGGACGAACGCATTTACTCCTGGCTGCTACGATCCACCCTACGCTGGGTGGTGTTGAACCCACCATCCCCGTCCCTCTTCTTGTGTTTTTTTTTGTCGCACCCACACGACGACGGACGATCTTCGGAAAAACAAAGAGAGGCACACAGCAGGGACAAATCTCAACGGGAAACATTCGCCGCAGGAAACACCGACTCCCGCTCACAACTACACCCCCCCTCACATGAAAAGAGGTATTTTCTACATTTATTTTACTTGCGTCTTCACCATACAGGCAGACAGACAGTCACTCATCACCTGACAGATATACTGTCATCAGTCAACGGTGCCACCACCGTGGTTGACGCTTCGGGTAAAAAAAGAGAAACATTTTGTTGGCTCATTTAAAAGAGAAAATGGCACGGGCAACCACAGCAGCTGTATCATCAACACATGCCACCAGCTACCGGTGGTGCTACGTGGAGCAGGTAGACCAGGCCGCACCCCTCGCAGGCAGGAGCAACGGGTGGCGGTACATGGGGCCTGGAGGGGTCACCTAATAGGCGCCGGACCATCTTCGGCACGGGGTTTAGGGTTCGTATCTCCTTCCCTTCCTCGCCAGGGCCGGGACACATGTGGTTCAACTCGCACCCCCTTGGAGGAGATCCCAACCTGTACAATTTTCAAACTTGGGCGAGGACGGTGCTGCAGAGAGGCATGGTCCACCCGCGTGACACCGAGGCTTGGCGCACAGCGTTTGTAGATGTAGAGGGTGGTGGCCTTGGACAGCTGGTTGTGTCAGCGGCCGACGATACCTGGCGAGCAATCCTCTGCTGGGCGTCATCTGGTAGGAGGATCAACGTCGACACCCAGGGCATCCCGATCTCACTGTTCTGGTGTCGACTCACAGAGCCCTTTTTTCAGACAGCTTAACATAGCGATCTTCGGGCACAGAGTTGTGAGATATGCCCCCATCACCGCGTTCGGCAAAAAATGGCAAGAACAGCTCCCAGGAGCCTGTCTCGCTGTCCTCGTCGCCGACGCTTGGCGTGACAGTCAAGTCGACCTGCTAAAAGCACAGGAGGGGAGAAGGTTTGGATTCCGCGATGTAGATCCCACGGGTGCGTTTATGATCTCATCTCGTGGTAGTCGACCAAAAAAGGGCGCGCCTGTACAAAACAAGAACGCTCTTGACGGTGGGAACTACTTCCGCAACCTCTATTCGATTCTGCTGGAGCGAGACATCGGGGAAGTAGAGTTCGACAAATGGGTTTCGGGGGATACAGAACCACCCGCCTTGACATTACTCCATCTCGAAAAGTGGCTCTATATGACCAAGGCCAGCGTGGTGGTGTGGTCACATCGGGGCACTGGTGCCAATATTGTTGGACCATCCGACGGGAAAACGAACCTCCGACCGCCCACAGTACACGTTGGCGTGCGTGAGGGACACGTGTACCGGCTTGTGCTCGAGGGGCCTTGGAGAGACAGGTTTGGATCGTCTCTAGACGTGGCAATTGAGCACAGCGTACGAACGTACCGTAAATTCCGCCGAATTTCTGTGATGACCGAGGAAGAAGAGGAACCAGATACGACTGGTTTTGGCACCAAGACCTTCTCGTGTGTCGCTGACATTGTGAGTGATATCATGGCCATCAAACAAACAGGGGGGGACCACAACCGACAGCCAGTGGAAAAAAAGCGGAAGCATGGGAGGAAGGTATCAGAATGCAAGACGTGGTACGCGCCTCCAGGAACGGCCCTCGACGAACTCATGCCCCACCTACACCTCGCTGGGGTCTTTTGCAAGGGTAAACTCACGAACTACAGTCGCTGGAATTCACTGTCCTTACCAGCGCACGGCATAATCATCCGAACCTGGTGCAGCGCGAGCATAGGTGGGCTCGATCCCGATGACTTCGAGCCCGATCAGGCAACACGATTGATCGAGCTGCATAATGCGCTGGGTCTTAAGTTCTACCGCGGTGTATTGGATTTTCGAGTGTCGAGTCAGTACCGCCAGTCTCTTCTCGCCCTCCTTGAAGTATGCTGGCGGGGGCCGATCGTCGGAGCAGTGGACGCGTCCGGGAGTTCCTACGGGAGGGAAGACTGGCAATGCGACATCAATGGGGCACACACGGCGGCTCATATGGACATGGAGACAGTGCCCGTCTTCGGCCACATGGATGAGGTGGAGGAATTCGATGGCCAAGACATCGAGGATTGGACCCTGTACATCATAAATCTGGACGCGCTCGAAGAATCCGACGTAATCCTTAACGCGGACGTGACGCCCGTCTTCGGTCGAAACTACAAGCGTTACCTCGACCTCATCGACAACGCGCCTCGCCATAGAGTCACCCACTTCGTGCGACCATGCAGAACGGTCAGCAGGTGCCACATACCCAAACTAGTGAAAGACCTGCTCGCGCATGAGCTGGGTGATCCCCTCCTCGAGGATGCCGACTGTGCACGCCGATTCAAAAAAGGAATATTCGTGCGGGCCAGCGGTATGTTGCAGCAGAGATACGCGTACAGCATAGATGCCGTCATGGTTACGAGCAGTGACGAGGCTTCGGCTGTGGGTGGAAAAATCGTCCCTGTCCTGTGCGAAGTCGATCGTGTCAAGGCCGAGCTTCGGACGGGACAAGGGGACCTTGGAATCGAGTGATGCATACCTTTGTTTCGACGCAGAACGGACCTGTAGAGATGGCTTCTGGGCGTTAGGAACCCTCATCCTCGACAAAACTCGATTGCGAGTGTTGGAGGCGTGGAACGCTCTCGCATCGTGCGGAGCGTCCGACTTTAGCTACCAGTGTAACGCAGTACAAGAAAAGATGATACTCCGCTTCGACCATTTGTATAGCGGCGGCGAAAAAACTCCAGGGCACTCTTAAAATTGAACCGGCTTTGAAGAACCCGCTATGTTTGGAGAGGAGGGTGTTCGAAGGCATCGTGGTGAAGCTATCGCTAAATGCGTTACCTCCGGCAATGACGAAAATTCCTTGCCCATTAAAACCCCCCGTTTTTAGTGGTCCCGCTGTGGGATGGCATCGGGGCATGCTTCCATTCGATGGAAGGCGCGCACAATGCCTGGCGTCGTCTCGGCAAGAACACCAAGCGCGATCTGTGGCCGGAAATATGCGAGGCCGAGTCACCATCGAAACTAAAAAGTTTATTCCGCGGCTTGTTGACTCCGCAAGGTTCAAGGATCGTCTGCGCTGTGACCGGAGAACATGGAGGGGCCGGGAAAATTTACTGCACTATCCGCACTGCTACGGCCACATTCGAAACAGGCCTAGTCTTGACCCCCACCAATAGCCTACGCACGTCCTACACAAATCTGCCATCCGGGTGGAGTGGAAAGACCGCTGACCACCAGCTCGGATTCTACCTGAGTGATGATTCTTACGTGAGAAGACGGCGGGATCGATACGAACGCTCAAGGTCGACGTAATCATCATCGAAGAAGCTGCTTATATGCCTCTCCGGACTTTAAGCATGATCCTGGCGGCTGCCCATAGCAGCGGTACGCACGTGATCGGGACGTATGACATGCATCAACTCCAGCCCGTTTGCGATAGCAGCGGCATGTCGACTAGCAGGGACAACATTGACAGGAGGGTCATTCTCGAAAAAGCCTTCCCCACGTGCTTCCATGTCTTCGCGCGCAAGCGAGACAAAACTGTAGAAGACCAGGTGGAGATGGATGATGGACTCTTGCACATTCTGGCTGCAGGAAACGACAGTCACGAGGCGCAGACTCGAGCCATCGAGAGGTTTGGTGGTGATTGCCCAAAGGCTGACAATCCTAGCACTTCAGATTTTCACCTCGCGTACACAAGAGAATGTGCTCGATTCCACGCCTTTCGAGGTTTGCTGGAGTGCGACGAAGCTGGGGACCGGGATGGGCTGGGGTGTCAGACGGTGGTCGGTGCGCAATACCGAGACCTCGGGAACCCGGGCAAGGTTCACAAGAATCACACCTACAGCATCACCCGTTCATCAGCAGACGAGGTCGTTGTCGCAAGCGTTTTTGATGGTGCTGTCAGTCTAGGGGAGACGTCCCTTTGTCGAGCAGTGGCCGAAACGTTGTTCGACCCCCCTGGATCATGTACCGTACACGCCGTCCAAGGCCGTACAGTGGAAGGGAGGTTGATCATACATCAGGCCCGGCACCGTCACGCTGACGCCCACTGGCTGTACACGGCTGTAAGTCGAGCGACCGGGCCGTCGAACGTCAGGGTCATCGACGACATTCACCGAAGCAAGAGCGACATGTCCGATCGAGAGAGGATGTCATGGGTTTCTAGGAAGGTTTCAAGCTACATCTACGCCGACGTCGCGGCCGGGCGTATACAATCTGATGAGGAGGGGCAGCATAGAGAAGCTCTCGTTCAAGAACTCCACCGCTCCTGCGGGGGAGGTGTAACTTGTGCAACCATGAACTTTCTGGGCCTTTTATAGCGAACGCCAACCGACTCTTGACCGTCTTGACTGTGCTTTGCCCCACACCATCGGAAATGTAGACGTCAAGTGTCTCAAGTGCAACAGAGCAAGAGGAAGCCTAGGGAGTGGGAAGTCAAAAAAGAGGAAGACATGTTGATTGTGCCGTGGTCGACTGGTAGCTGTTAAACCAAGAAACTCAGTAATTCAATCATGAACGATCTTATTTCCCAGTGTGCTAGTTGGTTGGAGGGTAACAAAGACCCGGTCCATGTACTCGAGGCCTTGAGAACCCTGCATCCGGACTCTCTCAACAAGAATGTCCGGCGAGTCAGGCGAGAATGGATGCAAGCATACGGTCCCAGCTATAACGACGGCGCCATCAGAAAGGATCTCAAGCACATACTCAAAGTCATACAGAGAAAGGTGTCGTCGCTGGCCAAGAAAACCTCAAGTGAATCAAGGAAGCAATACAGCTTGAAACAGCTCAAAATGGCCGAGAAACGTTTCGTTTTGTTCGCGAACTCGGATTTGTTCGGCAAATGGGCAGCGCGAAATACCGTTCACTCACGGGAGAAGTCCTTCACTGGGGTCGTCGAAATAGATGAGCTCCTGCGAAAGGTAAATATACTTCTACCTTACGTCTCTCAGCTGGAACTCACACAGGAAGAAAAGAGCATTCCAAGGAAAAGACGTCGAGAAGAGCATCAGAGTGAACGCAAGCGATCTTATCGATCTCATGGTAGCAATCATTAGAAATCCTAGAGCACACTACTTCGAATTGGTGTGCGCGTTATCATTTGCCTCGGGGAGGTCGCTGCCAGAACTTATTGGTGCTACGAAAACTGTATGAACAATGAAGTTTTAGTGAATATCGCGTGAAAATGTAGAGTATGTGTGCGCGTACAACACAAATCCAACGAGTCACAGTGTTTGCGCATTTACTGAGAAAGGAAGGCCACTGACGACGAAGATGTTAGTGGCTCGAAGTCACACCGTCCACTGCCGGAAATGATCACCTTGGATATCTCTCACTTTCGCAACCGCGCACTTGCGATTTAAGGCAGGCGGACTCGGACCACCGCGTGCTACTTCTACCCATTCACCCAAATCAAACTCGTGCCCCGTGAATACGTTATGACTAATCACGACGTGGAGCGTCTTTAAATTGCCGAATACACGGAATCCGACTTCTTCAGGAAGCCATTTTCAGGCGTACAAATTAACTGATTTACTAAATCGATGGTTTACCTCGGCGGGCGTTAGGTGGGATGTATCTTTCATTCCGCGCAACCGATAGACACCACCCATGAAGTGTTCGTATTCGCATAATAATGGTATCCGGCAGGTTCCTCCACCAACCTTGACATCTACCTCGTGAGTGCGAATTTCCAATTTTCTCTCGCACAGTTTTCACACCACCACCACCGATATCTTGTGTTGGAAACAAAATGTTCCAACACGTCCTATTGACTGAGACTACCACCCCGGGAGAAACACCTTTCTTTTCTCTAGTTTGATCGGGGCTTTGTGTTGCACAAACAAACAGTTTTCACACACACACGCACACACACATAGAAGGAGGATGTTGAAGACCATAGCAGCAGCGTTTTTTGGGCTATCCCGGTAGAGCCGGTGCACACTGCACCTACCGACCTAAAATCTACACAATGAAAAAATTGATGACGAGATACGTAGTCTACATACATTCGAAGTTGAAACTCTCTCTCTCCCTCTCTCTCTCTACCCCATACCCGGAACAACAGTGATGGGATAGGTGACACTGTCACAACACCCACACATGCCACTGAATTGGTGTTTTTCCTACATTGACTGCGACAACAACCAACAGTCGAAACGCGGAAGAAGAGCGCACACGACTATCTATCGCGAGGACGAATAGGGCAAAAGGTAGTAAAGGAGGATTCCCGGGCCAACACGATGAGCGTAACTCGGGAGAACGGACGCCGGTCAGTTCTTCTTGTTCTTCTTCTTGAGCGCGTTTGCGTTGTTCTGGTTACGAAGCATTAACTTCCCCGCGCGTGGGGGACCGATGGCGAATGCCGGCACCTTGAAAGGTGGCGTTCTCGTCGTCACGGGGATGGCTCCTTCGCTGACGCACACGTTCGGCTTGTTGCTATTGTGGACGCGCAGGACCACCCTGCCCTCGTCCAGGCCAAATGTGCCCTTCGCCTTGATGACGCCGGGGTAGCCTGGGCTGACGTCAATGCCACAGAGTGGGGGGAGCGGTTCGAGGAGGCTCCCGTCCTCCTCCACCAGGCGTTGGAGTGTCGCTGCGAGTTTGTCCGCCGGAATCTTCAAGCGGAGTCCGAAGTACTTCTCTCCCGCGCCCTCCGCGCTGAAATCCCTCGCAGCGCGTCCGGCGCCGCACCAGCCAGCGCTCCCAGTCTGGTTGTCGCCGCCACCACTGTCAATGCCTGATGAACAGGACAGGTAACCGGTTGATGTATGTGTGGAGCGACATAATCTCCGGTGGTCCACGCCCACCGGGGTTTCGGAGGGTGGAGTTCACTGTCCGTGTTAGCACAAGTTCACTCAAAAGGGTAAAATAGCGAATGACGAGAGAGGAACGTAGCAACAACAATCATATTCTTCGACCAAGAGGCCACGGCATTTAGTTTCACTCAAAGCGTCAAAACCGCACGTCTTGGTATCAACACATCCAATGGAACAGGGGGCGGGGATGCCGACAGTAAATGGTGTGCACCGCACACGGATAAGGGAGGGGTGGAACTGACTCGACTATGAGGCAACAACAACAACAACAACAACAACAACAGAGGCAACGATAAGCTGACAATCGAATCTTCGACCCAGAGGCCACACAGCTTCATTCAAAGGGTCACACGCCTTGGTAGCATCACAAAGAGAGAGCGGAGATGCGGTGAGCACATGGGGCGCGGGGCATCAACAACAACAACAACAACAACATCAACATCAACAACAACAACAACAACCACACAAGCAAAAAAACCAGCGAACATTCCATCCCACGGGTCCATTGCACGCCACGGTATCAACGCATTGCATGGGGCAGGGAGCGGGGATGTCATGCTTGCGTTGGGTGCCTCTCACACAAGGCAACAAGCAAAAACAATCTGTTCAAGTAACCGCAATCGAGACCAAGAGCGGCCGAAAGGATTTCAATGAAACTAGGGTACGGAACGGTCCCCATTGGTAGGCGTTCCTTCGTCATACAGTAGTACACAACTAACACTATTCAATCTTCCTGTACGGACGCGCTGTGACATGATACATTGCCCTGACACATTCGGAAGGCCGGGTGCATGAGACAAGAGGGGACATAGGACACATGCCAACACCCAACATTCATTCATTCGGGCTCCTCAACTTGCCGAACTTGTAGTAGGCAGACGCTTGCGCCTCGGGGGGTGGCCGGAACAGCGACACGCCGTCCGTGAAGTCCCCCGGCTGCCGGATCCGTTCCCCGACTCTCTTCGGCGGAACAAGGTCACTAGTCGTGACCCGAAAGGCTTCCTCACCGTCGACGGCGTCCACTCCACAGAGCAAGGAGAAGGAAGGGGGGGGTGTCGCGATCACTGCGTGGGAGATCGAAACCAATGGAGGCGTTACTGCTCGTGTTACCGAACTCGTTCATCGGCGCTTGAATCTGCTGCATACTCTAAACCATCTTCATCTTCGCTAAGTAGGCTTTCCCAAGAGCCAAAATGTGGTTTCGCGGAATATTCATGTCTGATTATTACCACGGTAGTGAGACAAAACGAGGAACACTATTGTAACTGCATATGTGTACGACGGTGTATATCAGCGTTGATCCTTCTCACCCGTGCTCCGGAAGGTGCTCTGCCCGTGTTGAGCGATGATGGTGATAGCGGGCTGCGTGGAGCGGATGCCTTTTTCGGCTCCCTTGGCGCTTCGAAGTCCTGTAGATGCAAAAGAGCAGGTGCACACGACGGGGTACCTTAAGTGTTGTCTGTTGGGTGCATCGAAGATCTCGAGAAGTTTTTTGTTGACACGATGTGAGCACCACAAGCCGCATAGAAACTGTGTGCCTCTATGTTCCAAGCGCTGCTCCTACCTCCTCGCTCGGAGGCGTGCTGTAGTTGTCCGATGATCCCAGTTTCTTCGTCGGCGGAGTCTCGGGGTACGCCATCGGCCCTGGTGTTTGAAAAAGCAATCAGACGCGCGGAAGCAAATCTAATTCAGTTTTGTCTAGATGGGCGTTCAGTCCAGCCAGTTTCGCCTGGATGTAAATGAAGTCCACTCGATGGACTCGGCGCGCACGTGTGTTTGACTACATGCAGTATATACCGATTCACTCTCGCCGCTGAGGGCGCTCTGCATTGAACCAGGGGCAATGTTGTTCACGCGACAAGCACGCCGAGCCGCCTCGTGCGTGGCATTCAACTGAGAGTCATGTCGAACGCTATGTATTGTAGACGAGTCATCGTGTTCTCTTCATGGTGGCGTAAGTTTGCCGGTCAATGAATCGTTGCTGGGACGTTCCAAAACCCCGTTTCAACCATGGTGGTACCGGGGCTGTTGTGCTACTGCTGTAAAATCAGTGTGTTCTACTTCAAGCCATGTGGAAAGAGGTACACAGTATGGCCTGAACATCTTTGGTGTTGGGAGAGAGACGAAGACGGGCAGGCACGTGGACGGATACAGACAGAAAGACGGACAGAACGAGCGAGGAGAGAACGGGACGGTACTACCCCTGTACACCCGGGCACGACAACAAATCACTTGTTCACCGAGGGGCCTCGAGCGGAAGCTTTTGCAGCTATGAACACCGAAAGCAAAGCTTGAGCAGGGCAACAAAACGATTGCTAACGCCCTTAATGAGCACACACTCGGTGGTGTACTATCTTTCGGGGTGTGTGATGAGACGGTGGCCTACAGCGTTCGCGAGATCGATACCCAGTGTAAAAACCAAAATGCGGCGGAACCTAAAGTCCTAACACTGAGCGTGCTACAGCCCCTCAAAAATACTACGAGACGAATCATCAGGACAAACGCTCGTTAGGCTGGGCACGCGGGTGTGCGGTCTTGCGTCTGCTGTTGCATCAAACACTCCGCACATATGCATAAGATACATCGCTCCGTGAAACTACATCCATCGTCTACTCTCTCTCTCTCTCTGTGGGTCGTCCAAATGAACCTATCCCTCGCGCGCGGAATACAGAGAGGCATCAAGCAACACGACCCAGCTCACCTGTAGTCTTCGTCACAGTGGGTCGGTGTGCTCGTTGATGGGAGATGGGTGTGTGAATTCGATGGGGGCTCGGAAGACAGGAGTCGATGTGGTACCCACGGGTGTGATATAAAAATTCAAATGAGTTTTTTTCGGAGGCCACATCCACCCCTCCCTATCACGAGGCGTAGTAGGTGAATCCACCGGATTCTCATCATTGACTGCCACCTTGCCCTCAATCACATGAAGAAGGGTTCGAGGATACGGACTACAGTAGTACTATAAGTGTTGTGAAGTTGAGTCTCTCTCAGCAAATATAGGCGTAGGCGGTCCAAAATACCGGTAGCAGGGGTGGCGGTGATGATCTGTCCTGCTGTTGTATTTGACACTATTAGTCAATACTTGGTGTTTAATGATAACGCGAGAGACCGCCCTTACCCGGTGTCCGAGAGAGAGAGAGAGGGAGGGAGAGGTGGAGTAGAGCACTGAGCGTGTGCGGGTGTTTTCTGACGACGGTTTTTTCCCGTTAGGATATGTTCCTGCGTGCCATTTTTTTCCAGAGTCCGTCCGTCCGTCGTGTGGGTGTGGTCGGTCAAGCGTGGACCGGAGTACATATGTGAATCGTTTGAATTCGTTCATCCACCACAATCAGTCGATGTTTTGATGGATGTGCTAAATGCGTTGGTGCAGGGGGCGGATGAATACAGCAAACGTGTGGTCAGCCGACTATTTCCCGGTAAGATTGGTGGTGAGTTATATGTATCTTCCGAACGGTTCGTCGAAATGAAGATTGATCGTTCTTTACAATGAATGATATTAATCTCGTCGTGTACAAGAATAAGTGTGTATGAGTATACTGCTGTATTTATTTGTTTATTATATTGTGTGCGATTTCGATGCTGCCTGCTACCACCATGTGGCGTGCTTGTGTGTGGTGAATGAAGTCTGGGTGGATGAAGGGTCGATAATGTATAGTCTGCTGTGTGGAGTGAGTGTGGTGGTGATTCAAGAGTGCTTCACGAACAAACACACACAAACAGTCGGTCGGTGTGGTTACATACATCCGCGTACGTCCCCCATCCAAAGACAACAAACAGCGTTGGTAGCTGCTACAGTAACCTCGGTGATTGGTCTATGTTGGGTACGTACGTATGACTCGTGTGATGACACCACACACAGGCTACCACTAAAGTAATTCAGTGTATGGTACCGCAGCAACAGTTTTATTTGTTTGTGTGTATTTTTACGTGCCAAAATTTTGACCAATCATCATCAATCAGCAGATACAACAACCAGCATCATCCACGGTCAGATTGAAATATTTTGATTTTCTAGAAAAAAGTGAACCCGCCGTAGGTGACACGTCATGTCGGCCAGGGATTTTTGGCCAACCTGAAAAAAAATCTCCTTTAAAAAAACTGGCCGATCAGAAAACTGCGGGCACCTTTTCTCTCTCTCACGGTCAGGTTGAAATATTTTGATTTTTCTAGAAAAAAGTGAACCCGCCGTAGGTGACACGTCATGTCGGCCAGGGATTTTTGGCCAACCTGAAAAAAAATCTCCTTTAAAAAAACTGGCCGATCAGAAAACTGCGGGCACCTTTTCTCTCTCTCTCTTGTGACATTATTTTCCGAAAAATTTTGTTCATTAGAAGAAATGGCCATGTCCTCACGAAAAAGCATACTGAAAATAGTATTGAACCGGTCCTGGTCCGATTACCCGGTTGGAAGGACCGGTTTGTTTAAGAAAACAAAATGACAGCGGAGGCCAAGCTTGGCTTCCAACATGACTCCACGCACCAAGTGTACTCCGCTCACATTTTGTTTGGCACCTTTCGTGCCCTTGAAGAAAAAAATGCGAGGCTTGGAAGAGGAAGGCAGGGAGGTTGTGAGAGGAAGGGGGTGGAGGAGCACCCGACACATTTTTTTTGTCTTCCAGAAGTCTTACCAAATCCGTCTCTTGCAAGCAGGAAAAAAGCGCGTACAGCGCACACAAGTACCGCTCTGAGACATATCCAAGCCCTGCTTTCCCACTGATCCGTGCGCTACTCGTTCCTTGCCCTGTCCCCCAGTCTCTCTACCGACTTCTGTAGCGAATCTACAGAGAGAGGTACAGACCCGATCCATTTGGCTCTTCTTTCTTTCAAGCTGTCGTCAACTTTTCCCGCCAAATCTTTGATGGCCTTGGAAAGAGCGTCGCCTTGGTCTTTGGTGGCGTTGGTAAGGGTATCGCCTTGGTCCTTGATGACCTTGTAAAGAGCCCGACCTGGGGATTTCAATTTCCAATTTGTAAAAATACTACCATGAAAAGCTGAAGGGGCCTCTACTAGCAATTTAGTGCAGAGCCCGACCTGGGTGTTTCAATTTCCATTTTGTAAAAATACTGCCGTACAAGCCTCAGGGGGGCCTCTACTCGCACTTCAGTACAGAGCTCGACCTGGGGATTTCAATTTCCAATTTGTAAAAATACTGCCATGAAAAGCTGAGGGGGCTTCTACTCGCACTTCAGTACAGAGCCCGGCCTGGTGTTCTATTTCCAATGTGTAAATTTTTTGCCATAAAAAGCTGAATGGGCTTCTACTCGCATTTATTTCAATGCAGAGTCCGGCCTGGGTGTTTCTTTTTCCAATGTGGAAAAACAATGCCATTAAAAGCGGAGGGGGAACCTACTCGCACTTCAGTACAGAGCCCGGCCTGGGTGTTTCTTTTTCCAATGTGTGGAAATATTGCCATAAAACGCTGAGGGGGCTTCTACTCGCATTTCAGTACAGAACCCGGCCTGGGTGTTTCAAATTCCAATGTGTAAAAATATTGAATAAAAAGATGAGAGGGGCTCAACTCGCGTTTCAATGCAGAGCCCGGCCTGGGTGTTTCTATTTCCAATTTGTGAAAATACTGCCATAAAAAGCTGAGGGGGTCTCTACTCGCACTTCAATGCAGATCCCGGCCTGGGGTTTTCACACTTGAACGTCAACCAGTGTGAAAAAAAGTCTCCGTTTGAACAAAATCGCAAACCATATCTGCCGTGTCAGCGTGCGTAGTGACATTTATTTCCCGTGAGTTGCCTAGAAGACTGGCCCTCACTTGCACGCAATTTCTACCTCTGCCGAAAAAGTCTCCGTTTGAAACGACTTGAGAGATTTCACGAGAATTTGTCGGTGACATCGGGGCCTATTTACCCACAACTAACAACGATCTCAAAGTCCTTGCACGGTAAACACATTTTGAAAAGTCTCCGTTCGAGGCAAAGCGAGACTTTTTTCGAGAGCAGCAAACCAAGCGGGGTTCACGAGGTAGAAGGTACTTGCACGTCGAGTGTTTTTCGATGGAAAAAGTCTCCTTTTCACGTCCGCGCGCGCTCACGAGACGTCCCAAAACGCAAATCGCAAAAGTGATTTCTTCGTAAAACAGAAATGATCTGAGGCTGGCCAGAAAGTTTGGCCCATCCCAAAAATGCGACGAAAACATCCTGTTCATTTTGGCGTTCAAGATAAACGACATGTCCTCATACAAAAATTGAACCAATCGAACCACGGCGCCGACCTAGAGTCGAAAAATAAACGACCCAACTCTATTGGCAGTTGAACCATGGCGCCGCCCTAGAATCGAAAAAAATTGGTTCAAGAGCTCCAGGGTATCCTTAGATTTGGAAACCGAAATTGACACTATAAGGTCCAACTTGGAGACCATTTTAAAACAAACACGAAAGTCCTCCTCCTGGTTGAACTGGGAATTGACCTTGGCATATTGTAGTTTTTTTTCACGGATCCCTGATTGAAATAGAAGGTGACCTTGGCAAAATGCAGTTGTTTTTTCTGCGATCCCTGGTCGGAGTGGAGGGTGACCTCGCGAAGAAATGGGAGTTGGCCTCACCAGAATATAGTTTTTTTCCGCGGATTCCTGGTCCAACTGGGAGGTGACCTTGGCAAAATATAGCTTTTTTCCACGGATCCCTGGTTGAAATGGGAGGTGACCTCACCAAAATATAGTTTGTTTCCACGGATTCCTGGTTGAAATGGGAGGTGATCTCGCTAAGAAATGGGAGGTGACCTCACTGAAATGTTTCTTTCGCCGATTCCTGGTTGAAATGGGAGGTGACCTCACTAAAATATTGTCATTCTTCACCGATTCCTGGTCGGAGTGGAGGGTGA